GAGTTTAGAATCTATATGAGACCCTTCCCCCACAGGGCTGGCAGTAGCTGAGGACCCCACTCTAGGGGCTCCCTCTCAGCTGCTGTCCGGGAGCAATAAACTGCTTGCTCAGCCTTTCTGCCTCCCGCCTTCCTTTCTTGGGGCCGGTCACAGAAGTTGGGACAAAACACATAATACTTATTAAAACCTTGGCTCCGGTTTTGGCAGTGGCCGAGGCTGACCTGACCCTCAAGCACCACCTCAGCCACCAGCTTTTGTTGCCTGCACACCTTGGGTTGGGAGCCTTTGATGTCGCACTTCCCAGGGCCAGGGGATGATACCTGCCTCTAGTGGTCTCTCCACTGGCTCTTCCTTGGTGTATACACCAAAGCAAAAGCCTCTTCTTTCCATTGATCTGTACCTGTTGGCAATTAACAAATTTTCAGTCTCTCTAAAAGCTCCAGAATATTCCTTTTTTTTTTTTAAAGATGTATTTATTTATGTAAACTGAACTGGGGTACAGGCCAGAGGTGTGGTGGGGGGAGGTGAGAGGATTCACCAGAGACAGAGTGAGTGGGGAGCAGAACAGGCAAATCTACTGAGATACACTGCTGAGGGGAGCAGCGGGGAGACTGGAGAGGTCTGCTGCGCCCAGGGGTCATTCCCTGGCCGTGGATGGAACTCATGCTGCAGTGGCTGTGATAGCTTCACAGTGCTGTGCTTTAAGCTGTTGTGCCACCAGGGAGGCCCTCCAGAATATTCTTTAATTTGTTTATCAGAAGGACCTGTGCTTAAACTACCCACAAAAACTTTCTCGGGAGCTTCCATCTCTTATTTATTTATTTTAAAGATGTATTTATTTGCATCTTAAAGATATATTTACTTACATCCTGCCCTCTATGGCAGCCAGGGGGGGCTGGGAGTCGCCTAGCCTCAGTGGAGCTGGATTTAAGCTGGTGGTGAAGAGCAAGAGCTGTGCATTTGTTTAAATGAGTGTGTTAGCACGAGCTGGCCATGGTGGTCTGCCCACAGACGGCTGTCTCTCTTTCCATGGAGCGTAGAGCAGCTCTTTCATCCCCTTCAGTTCAATGTAGTGGGGTGTGTGGTGTGGGCCTGAGGAGCCTCAAATAACAATCTCACCCATTTGTGAATTTGTTTTTTTGTAAAAATGGAGTTTATCACATCCTCACGAGGAAATCAACTTTTGTGAAATGCGTTCTCATGCGAACTGCTTTTCAGTTCTTGAGTTTTTCTCTGCTCTTACTTGAAGGCCTTTCGGAACACTGACTTTCAGGGTTTGCATCTTGGTTGGTGCCAAGTCTGACTCCCATCAGAACACTGGCCAAGCCAGAGGTCCAACCTCCCAAACTGTTGGTATTCCATCTTGGTGATGGAATAAAAATATACTTCTCAAAATATGATTACTGTTTTTCAAGGTCGTTCAATTTTCAAAAGAGTAAAACAACAACAAAAAAGAATCTTGGTGATTTTGTCATAGGGCACCCCAATGTGAATTGGGTTGCCATCTGTGGGTTCTGCCATCCGCCGCAACAAGACAAACCATATACAACTTTAATGAAAAGTAAATATAAAAAAAAAGTCAAACTTTAATACAGTAAATATACAATACGGAACACAAAGAATATAACTTCTAAATCAAACACCTGAAGCGACCCATCCCCTCGTGGGCAAAAGTCCACCCCAAAGGGGTTGGCCCAGAGCAAAGCCAGAAAGTCGCCACAAGACTAAAGCACCTTCTGGCCAGGACCCATGGAAAAGGGTCAGCAATGGCCAGACAAATCTGGGAGGAAAAGAGCAAAATCAAGATAAACACTGCCATAGTCACCTCCCTGCAGGTCTCTCACCCACATCTGCCTCAACCAGTCCAGGGCCAGGAAACAAGCCCGGTTTCTTCATCACAGGCTGCTGCTCCATGTGGCTTCCTCAGGTCTCCTTCTGGTTCTCCATCCAGCTTCCTTCTCTTCTCTCATTCTTCTCTTCTCTCCTTTTTTTCTGCTCAGCTCCACCCTCCTTCTGGGTGGGGCAGGGAACCTGGAACTTCCCCATTTCCTAGGGACCCCCCTGTTGCAATTTGAGAGAGGTGACCCATCCCAGTGGGAATTGCTATACCCATTACATGCCTTTTCTCCAGACACACAATGTTCTATACACTCTCAGAGTGCGGGAGTCTCCCCTCCCCCACCACCCAGACTCTCATGGGCTGCCTACCCTTCCCCACCCTGACTAGAGCCGGCTTGCCCAGGGAGCATGGGGTTAAACTGGCAGAAGTGACTATCCGCAGCATCAGATGGCTGGGAGCGGGTGGCAGTGGAAGGCTCAGGTGAACTTTGCCTGACTTCCGGCTGCCAAATGTCTCTCGCCTTGCAGCTGTCGGGCCAGGCTGGGTGGGTCTGGACTGTCTAGGCACAGAGGCTGGTGAGGAGAACAGGAAGGGGTGAGGGCTTATCTGGAAATAATTTAGTTAATGCTCTTGACAGCCGACATGAGGGTCTCCTTTTCCAGCCAGAGTTCACATAAGGAGTCTCCTCGTAAGGCGCTCCCTCATCTCCTGTGATGCAAAGGTGAGGCGTGGGGCAGAGAGCCTTAGCTGGAGTGTGGGTGTTGGGAGTGACCAAAGATTTACTGACAAGGACTGAACTAGGGCGGTGAAGAATTGACCCTTGCATCCAAGCTGGATAAAGTGGTAATAAACTGACCTTGAGATCCTGGATGGGACTAACTGAAGGTGATAACGAACTGGGCCTCACATCAAGGACACAGATGGGCCTCACATCAAGGACAGCGATGAGTCACCCCTTTGGAATCTGAGTTTAGAATCTATATGAGACCCTGCCCCTTATTGGGTCTGCAGTGACTGCGGACCCCACCCTGGGGCTCCGTCTCAGCTGCTGTCTGGGAGCCATAAACTCTGCTTGCTCAGCCTCTCTGCCTCCCGCCTTCCTTTCTTGCAGCCAGTCACAGAAGTTGGGACAAAATAAATGGGTGCTGAAA